CTGACAGATCGCGGTTGACTCCCAGGGCCATCCCGTCTCTGAGCCAGAGGACCATGCCCTGGTACCCGGGGATGGAGCAGGGCAGAGTGACCGGCTGCCCCGCCACCACCACCAGGTCTGTGGGCTGCTGCGTGAAGACCGCCGCTCTGCCTGGAACACACGAGACAAGAAACCACGTGAGGATTTACAATAAAGAAGAAATGACAGACAAAATGCAAAGCGAGGAAATGTTTGTTGAATATGACACGACACTGGGCAGTGACGCACCCTGAAGGAGACTGTGTTTGTGGACAGATGAGTGTGTAGAGGAGCTGTTGCTGGGGTGATAGTGACAGCCTGTGACCCCATTTGAGAGCCATATGTACGAGGCATGAGTGGAGCCCCCATATGGTCCGGCATGAACACTACCCCCTCCAGGCACCACAGATCAGCCTCATTATGTGAACATGAGAGAGCGGCGTCTGTCACACTGTCCTGTGGTATCGCATTTCAATACAAATTTCACTCTGTTGATACTTTACAGCTGATGCCATCGTTATTCCCTGGATGCTGAAGATAACTAGAGGCACTGCTATGTCTGAAAGCTCTGTTACTCAGCATAGACTTTAAAGGTTCCACATTACGCTATATTCTGATCTATTAAAATGTTGTTTCCTCATCAAAAACGTCATCAAAACTGAACTGTGTTTTGTTTCATTTGCACGTTTATTAGCCAGGCTGGCACATCCTAGTGTATCCGCTCAATTTCATTTCTCTCCAGTGACTAAGTCAGGAATCAGAATACACTAGAACCCCGGAAGTTGTAGATCGTGCAACGGCCAATCAGCGAAGAGCTGTGAAACCATGACAGACTGGGTCCCTTTTTGTGGTACAGCACAACAGTAAACAAAGCGGTCGAGATGGATGCACACGAACCCATACATTCAGTGTTGGCAACGATTCCCAAGATCGAGGATTTAAAACAGGAACAAAGAGAATGTTCACACTATAGCAAAAAAGTTGATCTTTTATGTAAAAACAAATCAAACTTCTACAATCAATCAACTAAAACTTCAAATTTTACATTATTATTTACAGAAAAACATTGAAACAGATGGGAGAATGCTTTTTAATCGATTTTAAGTTCAATCTCTTCTCTGTCAGTACAAATAAAACAAATTTAAATGATTTTTTCACTTAGTTTGAAACAAAACAACTCCAGGTGGGTCATTCCACGCCATATCTCCGAATGCTCCCGCCCGACCATCTCGGATTTGACAGAAAAAATTCTAGGAGATTCATACACTTTCCAATGGGAAAAGTCAGAAATTTTAGCTCCCAACTCCTTATAGTTTTGTCATTAAAAGATATTTTGTCAAGTCTGCCCTGACCCACTTTGAGCAGAGTTTTCCGAGGAGCCACTTTCAGATTGCTGTATCTAAAAATCTATTTAAGGTCAGTCCTTCAAATTTTCAAGGGTTAAAAATTTGTCAGATGTACTTGTCAAATATGGATTTTTACACATGTGCTTTTGATTTATTACAGATTTCTGGGGGCTTGAATTTGCTCGAAAATTGTATTCTTCAAATCTGAGGACATCTTTGAAGGACTGTGGAAAGTGCACTTTCAAAGACAGAGGTTTGATATTGAACATACAGCTTCCCACACACACTGTGCACTTTGTATCTTAAAACTGACCCTCTGTGATGAACTCTCTAGAAGATATTAAGTGTTACAAATGGAAAAAAATATATAATTTGGTGCCATCTTTACCATGTTATAGCAAAAAAATGACAGCACCCCCCAACATCAAATGGACCATTTTAGAAAGACCAGATGTCTGTTTTTAAGATATATTAAGCCTTTTTTATTTTTTGCAAGGACCGACCTTAAATAGTTTTTTTAGATGCAGCAATCTGAAAGTGGCTCCTTGATCAACTCTGCTCAAAACAGGTCAGGGCAGAGTTGACAAAATATCTTTTAATGACAAAACTATAAGGAGTTGGGAGCTAAAATTTGGGAAGTGTGTGAACCTCCTAGAGTTTTTTCAGTCAAATCTGAGATGATCGGGCGGGGGCATTCGGAGATTTGGCGTGGAATGACCCCGGTATGTTTTTGACGAGGAAACAACATGACATTAATCAGAAAACAGCGTAATACGGGCCATTTGAACCATAAAATTTATACATGAAGCTTGTGTTGCCAATCCCAAACAAATAATGAGAAGGTTCAACTTTTGTAAACCTTTCATCAAGTTGCATAGGCCCTCGATCTGAAATTACGACCTCATCAGATTCTCAAAGATGAACACAACCTATTCATTAAAACATCACATCATTTATTCATTTTTTCCTCAGATGATTCAAATCTCATCCGATGTAATTACGCGGACAGTTGTTTATCTTCAGAGCCGTGGCATGTCTCGCGTGCAGAGCGCCGTCCGCTCACTTTCACGCCCTTTAATGATTGGTTTGGAGATTGCACATCTGCGTTGCTCGCCGTGAGGTCACTATTGCAGCCAAGTCGCTCCATCAGGTTCCAAATGTGTTTATCAGCGCATCATTTTGGTCTAATCCCCGTCTAAAAACTCCACACGCTCAAGTTCAGTCTGTGTGATGCAACTCCAGCCATAACGCAGCTGTCTAATTACATCCCACAAGATCCGACCTGCCGTCTCTGCAGTTTGGGAAAGCGAGGAAAGCTACGGAGAAACAAGGAGCATCCAAGCACGGAAAAGCTCAGTGTTTTAAAGAACATGTTTTGCAGAATTGACCTTTTTAGAGCTTTTTAGTAGTAGTGGGTCATTTTGCAGCACTACAAAACAAAACAAAACATAGATAACAGCAGTTTCATTCGTTTTTCAAAATAAAACCAAACAAAAGAAAATGAAAAAACAACTATTTTCCTCATTATTTGTCTCCAAAACCAAAATGAAAAAATGGATAAGGATTTGTTTTTTTTTTTCAGTTTTTGATTTTGTGTTTAAATGAGTAATGGAAAAAATGTGACATAAATTGCGATGTCAGACTGAACCAGGACTGAATTAGGACTAAACCAGGTCCGGGATCAGACCAGGACCAGACTAGAACCAGACTGGGACTGAGATCAGGACTGAGACCGGGACTGAGATCAGGACTGAGATCAGGATTGAGTCCAGGACCAGGACCAGGACGGAGACCAGGACTGAGGTTGGGACCAGACCAGGACCAGACCGTGATTCAGACTGGGACTGAGACCAGGACTGAGACCAGGACCAGACCGGGACTCAGATATTTATTGCAATATCGTGGGAAAGCTCACGATATGGTGGGGAGACTCACGGTTAAGGATGTAACAATATCCAAATCTCTCGGTACGATATTTTCACGATATACATCTCACAGTACGCTATTTATTGCGATATTTTGTGGAGGATAAACAGCTAAAACTGTAACTATGCTACTTTTTCCTCTTAAAGTGCCTGGACAAGACTTAATCCAAAGAACTAAGAGTAAAAGTGTTTAGAACTGTTATTTCTTCTTGTAGTCTGCACTGAAATGGAGCAAAGGATCATGGTCTATGTCACAGGTGTCAAACATAAGGCCCGGGGGCCGGATCCGGCCCTCCGAGACCTTTAATCTGGCCCTCGGCTGATTTTCTACTAAAATATTTTTATTATATTTTCTATTAAAATATTGGTAATTTTCTGCGCCTCTTATCACAGCAGTGTCTCCAGCGTCTTGTGCGTGGCCCCTCCCACCAGGGCAGGCTCAAATGAAGCCTTGCCTCTTTTAAAGGACGATTGTTTTGACTGTTGACAGTGACACCCTCATCAACAAAATGTCAAAAATAAGAAAAGCTGAGCCAAGTGCAGGATTTTCCAAGAAAAACATTTTTCAAGTTTCAGGTTGTTCATAATATTAGAAATATTTTGTAATAGAAAGAGTTCATCAATTTAAAAAAATATTTCTGTAATAGATTTGCATTTCTCTGCACAAATTATTGAACTTATTGCTATTTTTGGGATATATATGCCGTGAGTTTTCTGATCTGGCCCTTTGGGTTCAAAGTAGGTTGGATACGGCCCCCGGACCAAAATGAGTTTGACACTCCTGGTCTATGTAGTAGTTTTTTTTTATCTATTCCTGCACCATAACTCCAAATTTAACCAAAGAGACTTGTAATGGTTCACGATATTATTGTGAGAACTTTGACAATACGATATCACGATATTTTGGTTATTGTTACATCCCTAGTATTGAATCGTATCGAACCGTAAGCTCACTGTATCGAGATATGTATCGTATCGTGGCTCATGTATCGAGGTGTGTATCGTATCGGCAACTTCTGAATGATACCCAGCCCTAGCTTTGAGTGCCTTGAGTTTGGAAAAGCGCTGTATAAAAATGTGACCATTGACCATTAATCCATTAATCAAAGTGGTCTTCTCTGAGCTCTCCAATGGCTGCGTTTTTCCCGACCTGTATCACGCCCAAAGTGGCCCGGGCCGAGTTGTCGGAAGTGCCCTCTCCTGACAGATTGGCACGCGCCGATGTGGCCTCAAATAAACCGTTCCGGTGGAGGAGAGGCTGTTGTCGCCATAGCATCGAAATTAGTTAAGCCATTTGAACTCAAAATTGATTAGAATCAGAAAATGAGCCATTCCTTGCCAAAGCTTCGGCACTTTTGTTGAATTATTGAAGCACATTATTAAATGAAACAGACTCAATGGGACATAAAACATTCGCTTATAGATCAAATCCTGTGAAAGATATTAGCGCGCTGGACATAAATCTAACCGCCTTCAACTGGAACGCCAAGAAACAGAATTTTCCACAAATGTTGGATCTTAAAACTTTACGTTAAAGTAAGGCTGTGTAACTTTCTAGTGGAGAGTTTGCCACTTGTTTGTCTCACACTATGACATTAAACCTATTTATTTCCATGGAGACAAACCCACAAAGCCTCCAGGCCATGTTACAAGTCAGATCTGTGGAGAGGAATACATGTTTTTCATAGCACTTTTGAGCACGAAAAAACAGCTGTAATTGAATCAATGCAGCACAGGTGAGTTTAATGCCATAAGGTGAAACCATTAAGGCAAAGCAATGATATCACCACGGAAACAAATTTGTGGTGGACCATCTACAAGAAAAGTTACACAGTGCACCTTTAAGAATAGCAGGGCCGGGTATCATTAAGAAGCTGCTGATACGATACATACCTCAATACAGTGAGCCATCGATTCGATACGATTCATTAAAAAATAATCACTGTGATACTAAGAGTCTTTGTTAAAGGGATGGTCCGGATTTTTGGACATAGGAGCCAGAGTGTTGGAGATGTGTGGAGACACTTTTTAAAAATATTCCATCCAGTCCTTGTATTTGCAGAGGTCGCTGGTGCTAGACTAGTGCATGTCAGTGGCCATAGTTATCCTG